CCCCTGTTGTGAGTTGATAACAATTTTTTTCTTTAAAAAAGGGGGGGGGGGGAAGAAGGGCAACGCAAAAAAAAACACAGAGAAAGAGAAGGAAAATGGTCATAATTTTTCAGAAAGCTGTTCCCATACCCGTCCCTATTCCATCACCTTTTTTTTTTTTAATTAAGATATTAATTTATTTAATTTTATTAATGATTACTTTGTAAAATTTATAAATTTATTTTGTGGCCCAGTTTGCAAGTCAGTTCCGTTACTCTTTGGGAGGTAATTTTGCTATTTATTGTACACCAACTTTCTGGTCCCCTGATGGTTCACCCTTTTTTTTTTTTTGCCCCCTGATAGTCTTTTTTCTTTTTTGGGGGGGGGACCCTGACAGTTCAGTTCTTCTTCTTCTTCTTCTTCCAAGCCCTGGCTCACTTGAGTCAGGGCTATACTGATTTCTCAATGAAATTGAGGTCATGTACATTGAGAACAGGCTGTAATTGCGGTCAGATACATCCAGGAAAATCCTACGGTGAGTATGCTCTCATTAATATTGAGATCGGCTAATCGTGCAAACACTGCAAAGCAATTAGTACATGATATTCCACTTCGTCGATATGAAATTCATTTACTTGATGTTGATTTGAATCATTCGATCGATTGACAGAAAAATAATTTGATGTATTGCAAATTCAACATTGCATATACCACCCCTTCTATTTCAACAACGCTGTTTTTTCTAACAAAAAAAAAAAAAAAAAAAAAAAAAAAAAAAAAAAAAAAGACATGCCATGAAGGAGAGCAAAGGGTGCCTTTCTGAGACATACAAGAGTTAAACCCTCTGAGAATATGAAATACGAATCGAAAAATAAGAACAATCAATTCTCTGAAAATTTGTGAAAATTGCTTCTTTTTTTTTTTTTTTGGCTGTAGATGTTTTCCATCATATTTCCAACGCATTATTTTTCACTCAATTGCCCATTCGGGCCCGTACACGGCCACATTCGTTCGCCCATATCTCCGGTCTCGGATCTGCAAAAAGACACGAGGTACAGAAGAGGTTGTTGCTATATTTAGAACGGAATGAAATGACTGAATGAAGTTGACGTCAACAACAAACACTGGCATCGTCTTAGCAAGCATCTGCCGGAAAGCGTCGAATGCATCAGCTGACAGCTGCTTTTTTCGGAGAATCAAAGAGACATAAACATAACCCGAAGGCAACATGGGTTCTTCTGTGGAGGTATTCGGAGGTCTCCCTAGTTTTTTATTTTCATTTGTTTTGAATGTTTTCCCCTTTTCCTAGTGGGCTTATCTTATCTGGCCCAATGCATGTTGTCCTGTTTGGTAAACATGGCTATGAGCCTATGACAAACAAAAGAGTCATGAGTGGGACCTGACAATTTGCCCAGGATGCATTCGACCGACAAAGGACTCACCACCTTGCCCAAAGTTAGTGACAATTTGCCCAGGATGCATTCGACAAGTGTGTGTGAGGGCGCGTGGGCACAGATCACAGTGGGTGGGGGTGCACGGGGGAACGTGAGGGCATGTGTGTGTGTGTGTGTGTGTGTGTGTGTGTGTGTGTGTGTGTGTGTGTTTTATAAAATATCACCACAACCTCCCCTATTCCACCCAGATGAGTAGATCCAAAGTTGTAGCAACTTTACCTGTATTGCAGCCAATGAAGCATGCTCAAGATGAGCCAATCCACCAATGAAACAGTTTTGCTTGTGAAGTCACAATATCTATTCAGAACCTTACCTTTAAACAAGCAAACAAGGAATCTCACCTTTACACAAGCAATGCAACACACTTGAGATGGGCCACCCAAACAGTAAAAACACTACGAGACACATTAAATTATTAAATTCGTTATATTGTTTTCTTGATAATATTTTCATCAGCTAGCATTGGGAGGCCTCCCATTTTTTTTGTTTTTGCACTTACCTTCTTACTGTTACCTTCTTACTGTTACCTTCTTACTGTTACCGTCTTACTGTTACCTTCTTACTGTTACCTTCTTATTGTTACCGTCTTACTGTTACCGTCTTACTGTTACCGTCTTATTGTTACCKTCTTACTGTTACCTTCTTACTGTTACCTTCTTACTGTTACCTTCTTACTGTGCCTATCACGTACAAGGCTGGCCACGTTGATGATGGTTGAGCGCCAGCTGCCCACATCCCCGTGTGCCTTTACGGCCCACTTGCACCGTTGGAGCAGACAACTGTAGAATGACACGAGAAGTCAATCAGTGTTCAGGTTGCAGGATGAGGAGTAACTGTTGCCTATGGTAGGTGACCGCTCCTGCAGACCGGACAGCACCGATTCGGGTGCGGACTGTGGAAGCATCGCATCCAATTCTCACAGTTGCAGTTGCTGCACCGAATGGAACGACGTAGACAGATATCACAGGCACATGGCTCCCACAGGCAAGGAACACAGAGGCACGCCGACTGCAATTGTAGAGGCGTTGCTGTTCGAGCCCCTGTCTACGAATTGGACATGAAATGTCAGGGTGCCGAACGTGAGTGCAATACTGACTATCATCATTCGTATGAAAACAGAAAGACGCATGGGTTGTGCCTTCATAATCCTCATGACACAATGCATGCAGCCCACAATCTAGCCGAATGTCAGGTGGATCATCACAGAAAGGCATTGAGCAAGTGTTTTGGGTTTCCTTGGCATTGATGCCTTCTCTATGGACCGACGACGACGATGACTGTGGCAAGAGGGGGTCATCCAAAACAAGGGTGTCTAGCTGCTGCAGGATTTGTTCTGCAACAGTTCGTCCTGGTGGTGTTAGCCCTTCAGCACAGTGTGCTATAAGCGGCTCATGTGGTACTCTATTTTCCTGCTCAGGCTGTCGAGTTTGCTGTTCGTCGGGCAAGAAAGAAGGAGATCCGATGATGTTTGCAGTGATTGCATGCCCAACTCTGCATGTGGGATATGCTAAGAGAGGATGTGGTGGATGATGGCATCGTGTATAGTCCACGCAGTAGAGGCATATGCTTTCTATCACAGCTTCCTGGAAACACTGATGACACATGGCATGCTGCTGACATGTCGGCATATTGGGCAGGCGATTAGGGGGTGGGGGGGATGAACACAAGACAAAGAGTCGCAGTTTTCGTGACAGAGGCTGGCAGTGACCATCCCGTCATAGTCTTCGGAGCAGAGACTATGCACTGTGCATGCTAACCGAACTGTGGCTGTGTGGCCACAGAATGGAAGGGCCCAACCAACATCTTCTAAGGAGGTTCTTTAATTGTCTGAGCAGAATCTGCCCGATCAACACAGGGAGGGGACACTGCTTGGTCATGTGCAGGGGAAGGAGGTCATTGCGCATCCGGATTGCTCTCCAGAGACTGAAGCGCTTGCGGGTGCGGAGTAGCGTATTGTTCCTGAAGGATAATCCAAATTGAGTGAGTATTTGCTACTTGGTTATAGAAAGAGTTAATGCTACTTACTGTGTGCMCCCTACCTCCATTGTCCCATAAGGCCCATGAATTGTCTGCAAAGGTCACAGCGCTGAAATGTCTTGGCCGATGCAGGATGTATGCGCGAATATTTGAGTTCATGTCTGGCATGTGGTTTTGGGGAGCAGTCTGCAGTTGTAGTCTTCTACCCATAAATGCCATAGACAAGACTACTATGTTCACTCCATGACCAGTACTGTCACCCTCTGGGCAGACAACACAGTGCTCTTCTTCTATCCAGCGGACAATATCAGCAAAATCAGAAACTGTGTAAGGGTTACAATTGTAAGCGAGGAGACTTACATTGACAGCATAGTACGCACAATAGCCTCACTGCAGCACTATGAGATCATATGATTCTGCTGGCTGTGCTGCAGCGGGCAATTCATTCAGTTCTGTGGATTGCACGGCAGGTGGAGATTTAATGTGGACTTGATCGTTTCTATCAGGTTCAGGGGCTTCATCAAATGATCAGAAGGCAGGTCATTGACCATTGGGGCTGGGGAACATGTGGGGTCAGGCGGGGGAGAAATGGGTGGGTGAGATATGGGTGGGTGACATATGGGTGGGTCAGATGCAGGTAATGGAGGCTGATCAGCTGCACTTGTACTTACCAGTCGTGCAAAAACTGTACAGGCGGCCGCACCCCATGTCTGATGCACACGCACGCCCATAATGCTGAAGAAATCGTCGCCACATTGTTGGCATCGAACTCGACATGCACTATTCCGGGCTAGTGTGTATTGAGTGCGACGTCGTCGTTCTGTACGGTTGCGGGCATGGCGTTGGAGCAGATCTCGAACCCCTGCAGGGGGGGCAGTGATTATACTACCCATGGACAAACGAGGCCGTTGTCTTGGAGACGCTGGTGGAGACAGGGAGCGCCTCCGCCGACGAGGTGTCTGCAACGACCGATTTAATGGTAGATGCCTTGGACGAAGGGGTCACCGCGACGACTGATCTGACCAGGAATGTGTTGATTACGAAGATGATGAATCAGGTGTGTGTGTGTGTGTGTGTGTGTGTGTGTGTGTGTGTGTGTGTGTGTGTGTGTGTGTGTGTGTGTGTGTG